TATCACTTCTTTATTATGCCCATTATACACACGAGAAAAAGGAGGCTCAAAGAGGTTAAACAACTTGCCCGAAGTCCCCTAGGTAGTAAATAGAGGAGGCAGGAATCAAGTCAGGCAGTGTGATGCCAGTATCTACCGCCCAGGTTTTGGACTCCTGGATTTGAATTGCCACACTACACAGGCCTGTCCGAGGTCCACCAGAACCCTGGGACCACAGCTGTGGCTTCTTCAGACCATCCCCTTCTCGAAGAATCCCTGTTCCTTTCAGCAATGCTAGGTCCCTTTCTAGGTCCACACTAGGTGACACTGGCCCCTGTTGCTCCCTTCCCACCTTCACAAAAACCAGCAATAAAGACTATCCCACAGCGAGGCTGAGAACATTCCTATCTGTCTTATGGGCTGGTCTCCAAAGATGACTTTCTTTAGGTATTTTTTCCTAAACCAATCTCTCTGACAGGTGATTGCTCTGAAGTTACTGTTTGAAATAAGTTTGGGAAAGAGGGGGAAGCGAACTCTATAAGATTCATGTGAGTTAAACGTCTTTGACTCCCAAGCCAGCAAGACACTGTCTTTCTTAAAAGCACCTTTTAGGCATCCCCAAAAGCTGTATTAAAAATGGTGAGAAGGAAAGGAGGGCGACTTCAGACCTGCCATATATGGCATCTGCTTTTCAACAATGAGCAACTCTGCTTCCTGTGGGTCGGTAATGCGGAGCAGCTAGTGCAGCACAATGATAGGAAAACGCTGAGCATACAACAATAAACCAAGGAATAAACAGCGTCCAGGTTTTCCTTTAAACCAACATTTGCGGCTTGGTGGGGGAGTAGTGTTTTATTTATATTGCTATGCAACGTAGGAAAAAAATAAAGGTGATTTCAATAAAAGGCACAGGAATATGTCGTGCTATCTGATCGCAGTGTCTGAATTTAGACATGACAGATGTTGGGAGGGGTTTCATGTTAGACATCAACCACGATAAGAGAAATTAATGTAGGGGGGCTAATGGCTAGGCTTTACTTTGTTTTTAAAAATTCAGTGGTGAGTACAGTCAGCGGCCCTGGGCCAGGGAGTACTATGCTGGCTCTGGCAGGGTCTGCTTGTATGTTTATGAAACCAGGAGCACAGCCTAGGGAAACTTAAAGCAAGCTGCCAGAGGAGGCTGCAGACTGATTTGTTAAACCGCAGATGACCAAACAGACCCCGCCCCACCTCTATGCTCACCTCTGGTGAGGTTCTGACTGGAAGGAAGTGCTGTCACCCAGGGAATTCTGTAACTCAAAGGGGCAGGCATGTGAGCTTCTAAGGGTATGTGTAAACGTTATACTTTAGTCACAGCTAAAACCTGGCCTTCCAGGAAAACTATCCTCCACCCCTTTCCCAAACTTCCCACAAAGCCCTCCAACCAGGAAAAAACAACTTCAGAAAGTAGAGTGGGGCTTTTCTGGAATCAGGTTTCCTCGGTTACAGTGAAGGCAGGTATCTGGATACTCTATCCCATGCAGTGACTTTCCCCTAAGTCATCAGGGGTCTGTTTCAGTTGCCTCTTGGTTCTGGTTGCTGCCTCTGCCCCCATCCCCATGAGACTGGGGAAGAGGAAGTTCTCCATTTCCCACTGCATGCCTTCTATATGCTGGGCACTATTCTAGCACTGGGGATACAACTATGAACAAAACAGAAAACACACAATTTCTGCTCTTAGAGTGTTTTAAGTTCTAGTGGGGAAAATCCACAAGTACAAATTGACAAGATAATGTGTAGTTATCCTCAAATGAAGACAAATTGCAAGTCACTTAACAAACTTATATACTATTCCCCAACATGAAAGGAATCAGGGGAAAGAGAACTAATATTTATTGAATGCTTCCTATGTGCCAGGCACTTGATAACAAAAATAATAATTAACATTTTTTGAGCATTTACTATGTCCTAGGCTCATAGAAAGCTGAGTTCACATACTTTTCATAGTCCCTCTTAATCCTTTCAATATTTCTATTACTCCAGTCGTACAGATGAGAAAACAAGGCTAGAAGTAAGAATAACTTGTTCAAGTACACCCTGTTTGTGCAGTCACGCTCTGCTTGGGATCTCTGTACTCCAGCCTGATGGCTTTGACAGTCAGATGGTGGCACACACTCCCCCTTCCTCTGCTTCTCTGTTGGTGGAGGGGGTGCTCACCCTTGTCCAGCTCCTTTCTACCAGTCCTTCAGCTTAAATAGCTCCTTCTTAAGGAGAACTTTTCTGGCTCCTCATGATGACTGTGATCCGTTCTCTAAACTCCTTACTTAGATCACATATATAAAAGGTCTGATCTAACCTCACTGGCTAACACGCAGAGGCACTCAAACACTACATTGCTCCTACTTCCTTTCCTTACTGTCAACAGTGTGAAACTCATCACTTGATTCCGTACTGTCTTATTTTTGTGTTATTAGATATCCACTGGTCTTGTTTCCTCGGTGAGATGAGCAGCTTAGGGAACTGTATTTATATTGACAAATTATTATTTGTTTAATCATTGTTTAATAGAGTGGGTCTCAAATTTGAGCATAGATCAGAATTACGTGAATGGCTTGTCAAATTAAATCGCTAAATTAAAAAGTCTTTCCTCCAGAGTTTCTGATTCAGCAACTCTGGGATCAGCTGAGAATGATTCTTTGTTGTTTTTTTTTGGTTTGTTTTTTACTTTTGTTGCCCAGGCTGGAGTGCAATGTGGCACTGTCTCAGCTCCCTGCAACCTCCCGCTCCCAGGTTCAAGAGATTCTCCTGCCACAGCCCCCCAAGTAGCTGGGATTACAGGCGCCCACCACCATGCCCTGCTAATTTTTATATTTTAGCAGAGATGAGGTTTCACCATGTTGATCAAAGCTGGTCTTGAATTCCTGACCTCAGGTGATCTGCCTGTCTTTGCCTCCCACAGTGCTGGGAATATAGGCGTGAGCCACTGTGCCCAGCCTGAGAAGGTGCATTTTTGACGAATTCCCAGGATATGCTGATACTGCTGGCCCAGGAACCACTTTTGAGAACCACTGGTTAATTGAATGTACCACAGTGCTTAAAAGCAGGTAGGCTGACTTTGACTACCATCCCTTCCACTCACTAGCTGCATGATCTTAGGTGATGTAACCTATTCGAGCCCCTGTTTCCTCATCTGTAAAAATGGAGATATCAATAGTATGTGTAGGCCGGGCACGGTGGCTCATGCCTGCAATCCCAGCACTTTGGGAGGCCAAGGTGGGCAGATCGCAAGGTTAGGAGTTCAAGACCAACCTAACATGGTGAAACCCCGTCTCTATTCCAAAAACAAAACAAAACAAAACAGAAACCCAAAACAGACAAAAAGAAAACACACAACAACAACAACAACAACAACAAAATAATAGTATGTGTATATCAGGACTCTTGTGTGGATTAAGTGTCATAATGAATATAATATGCTTAGCACTCTCCCTGACACGTTGGAAACATTCAGGGAATGCTTCCAACTATCACTGGAAAGGCTGGTACAATATCAGGCACTAAATAAGCACTGAACCCAGACGAAGAATTCCTCCTCAGGTTTAAAACTTCTTTTGAATTCATAAGCAATGAGAGCGAAGGGTGTCACCGTATCATGACATCTATCATTAACAGCTTTTGAAATTAAGCCAGAATCCTAAAAAATACAACATAAATGGTCTTCAGAAATGTCCCTCCCTATAGTACGCCTGATGTAAATCCCAGGTGAACAAAGGCCATGTATCTCTTTAAAGTTCAGGGCAGGTCTGGGAGGTACCTCCTTCACACCTTCCACAGCTGAAGGATGCTGAAGAGCTTGGAGTTGCTGGAGTCACCCAGGCATCTAGGCTAACGGGTTGGCAGACAAAAGTGGAGCCCATCATTCAATAATTAATTAGTTGCAATAATGGCAAGGCAACTTCCCCCAGAGCAGATAGAACAGCCACTTCCTTCAGTGCAGTGGTTTCAAAGCACCCGGTCCCTGGCTGCTCTCAAGTCTCTTCATCCAAAGCAAGACCTATATTTTCCCTCAGGGTCTAGCTGAGCAGTTACACTGGGTGACATTTCCTTAAGAAAGCCCAAGAGGGAATGTGCAGAAAAGACCATTTTCAGACCTTATCTCACAGTCTTCCAGGGCCTGGGACAGGGTATTCAGGGATGTAGATTTTGTCTAGGTCTATCCTTGTCTCAGTAATAAAGGAGACAAGAGTCAAGTTCCTCTCTCTGTGAACCCTGAATCCTGGGAATCCTGTCAGTTGAATCCAACCCTGAAAAGTTGAATGAGATCATCTCTGGGAGAATTAGTATTTAGCAGAGGCTGCGCTGCGGATTGTGGAGAGATGCTGCCGCCCTTTAGAAGCCCCTCCATCCCCCACTCACTTCTCAGAAGAGCACTCACCACCCCTCTCACCCAGCGGCACCCTTCCCTGATGCCCAGCAAAAGGACGACCCCCCCCCCACCACAATTTTCATCCCTATCTCCAATTTCCTAAACAAACCCATCGCAGCCAGGTGGTGTGTCCACACACTCGAATGGAGCACCACCCCAGGCAGCCCCAGGGCAGGGGTTTCTCTCCCAACACCATGGCCAGGCCCTGGTTCCAGCTGGTAGGCAGAGAAGGGGGTGTGTGCACGCGAGGCTGGAGGGGAACAGGGACCGCCAGGGCCCCAAGCCCTCCGGAGGGGAGGAGAGGCTGGGTCCCCGCACCTGGGGTCAACAGCTGGGAGATAAAAACCAAGGCAGGTGGGGGTTTCTTCCAGAGAAGAGCCACACGGTGTCTCTCCCCTTCTCACGATTTCTCATTGATCAACCTTCTGTCTTCCCGTTCTCTCCCCTCCATGCCTCCCCTCCCTCTTTGTTTGCCTTCTCCTCGCCTCCGCGTTGGAGCACCCTGCCCTCCCCAGGAGCGCGACTCGGACGCCGCAGTCAGCTCCCCGGGGACCCCGGCCCGGCGCCCGCCGCCCGGCCCCCTGCCCTGCCCGGCCCTCCCGCCTCCTGGTCTCACCCAGAAGAGCAGGTTGAAGCCGAGCAGCAGGTACTTGATGCACCGCAGGCCCCCGCGGAAGCGCCCCATGCTGCGGCCCGGCGGCGGGCTCCCCGGTCCCCAGGCCCGCGCTGCGAGCGCGGGGAGCGGCAGGCGCCGGCGGGGAGGGGGCGGAGCGGGGAGGGCGAGGGCGGGGCCGTGGGGGCGGGGCCTCCGGGGGCGGGGCGGGCGCGGCGCGGCGGGGAGGGGAGGGGAGGGGAGGGGAGGGGAGGGGACGGGAGGGGAGGGGCGCGGGGACCCCGAGCCGCGAGGCTGGCGACCGCTGGGGGCGCCGCGGGGTGGAGATCCCGCGGCGGGGTGGAGATCCCGGGGCCCGCTGGAGACGTCCTCTCTTTCCCCAGACCCAGGGACCACCTGCCTTCCCTCCCGTGGGCGCGCCGCTGCCGGTGGCTATCCGAGCACCTGCGGGGCGGAGGTGGGGGCGCCCACCGGGGACGGGGGACCCATTCAGTCAGCGCCCTGCGCGGAGACCGGTTTGAGGCCCGGGCGATGCTTGAGGGACAAGCACGCGGCCCCGTGGCTATGCAAACCCAGGAAGGTGACCTCGGGTAGAAGAGCCAAGTGTGGCCCGAGGTTGATCCGAAGCTGGCAGGACCCGTCGCGGGGCGCCCGCCTGAGAGTCCAGGGCTGCGACTCCGCGGCGCCGAGCAAGCGCACAGGCCGCTTCTCGGGGACCCTCCCTCTGGCCCTTCCCCGCTCCTCGGGGGACTGTTACCTTAATAGGCGAGAACTGGGAGAGGGCGCGGTGTTGGTGGGGGGGCACCCTGCGTCCTGAGGGCTGCTCCCCACCCGGCCGGCCAGTGGAGGGAGTCAGACTCCCACGTCTTGCAGGTTTCCACTGATCTGAGGCTTGAAAGAATCCTAAATTTTCGGGATCTTCTGATGTGGAGATGGGAGAAAGGGGGCGGTTTTTGTTTTGCTTTGTTTTTATTAAGTTAGGCTGTTGGCAGGAAAATCAGACTCCCACTCCCATTGACTAAGTGTCTGCAATGTGTGGTGCCAGACAGTATGGGGGAGACGAGAAAGCGTAAAATTCGGAGAGCTTGTGCATAAATTCAGCAAAACTTTGAGTGCCTATGATAGGCTAGACATAGCAGCAAGCCCCACGGACTCAACAATGAGGAGACAGCCAGGCCCGGAACCACAGTCGCTGGCGGTGGAGACAGATCTGTAAGCAAATAAGGTGAGGAGAGGGGGGCTGCCTGCTGGACAGGTGTGCCTGGCCTTACTGTCCTAACCAGAGAAGGCATTGCTAAGGAGAAGGGCCTGATCTGGTCTAGAAGAAGTAGCCCAGGCGGGAAAGAAGATCAGTCCAGGAAGACGGCTTGTGCAAAGGCACAGGGCTGGAGAGAGCAAGGCCTGGGAGGGAGCTCTGAGAACTGCAGTTAGCCGGAGTGAAGCCTGGCCCTGGGGGGAGTGGGGCAGAGTGAGTCAGGAAGGCAGCGGGGCCAAATCACAGCTTTCAGTCGGCTAACCATCTGCTTCTGGCCAGTCCTCAGGAAGCTTTCAGATTTTGTGGAAGGCCACAGGGAGCCAGCGTGTACAAAGCAAGAGTGGGAGCAAGAAAAGGCGGGGAGTGCCACACTCTTCTAAACAACCAACGTGCAAAACTGTCCTTGGCCCCTAGTGTCCCTGTGTGCAACATGGAGATAAAAGTACTCCCCTCACGTTGTGAAGATTAATGAGTTAGTAATTGTGAAGTGCCTAAAACAGTGCCTGGCAGAGTAAGTACTGCATAAGGGTTAGTGTTATTGTATCACACTCTATCAATCAACCATTCAGTTTCTACCACGTTGCCATCTTTGCCTACCTCTGTGTCTTTGGACACTTGTTCGAATATCTAGTGACTTGTATTTATAAAAATGAGTAGAAGACAGAAAAGGGAAAGTGCTGACTCTAGTAATAAACATGTCTCCAACAATGAAATAAAGACAAAGACGTAAGTCATTAGGTATGCAGAAAGAAGTGAATCATCAGCTTCAATCAAACACTTACAGTTCTATATCTGTGACCTCCGTTTTAGTAGAAATGAAAAGAACTAAGTTAGAGAGTAGTGTCTGGTACATAGAAGGAATTCAATAAATCAACTGAATGAACAACAATGATATTATACTTTAAACATGTTGTTGAATTTTACATCTCTGAGACAAAATATGTCTAGGGATTATATAGAGGGAAGAGAACTCCTATTGTAACATATACATATACTGTTTATTTTTTCATACTGCAATTTTAGCACACATGTATTAGAGATAGATGGTGGCTGCCTGTCCAACATAACAGTTTCAGATCTTTAGTATAGACTTGCCCAGTCGCCCTTTCACAAAGTTATATGTCTTAGGAGAAGCTGACTCTTGACAGCAGTAGGCTAAGGTAATCCTATTTCCCTTGTAGTTAGTTCAGGAAACAAATTGACAAACATTCTGACTAATGGGATTGGAGTGGTGTCTACTGAGGGGCCAGATGGTCTTCCTCTTGAAGTTGTTGGATCTGGATGGTATACATAGATTTGCTATATTCATCTTCATACCAGCCTGAGAACAGATCCAACATTGAGAACAGCAAAGCAGGAAGCTGAAAAGACCAGAGTCATTGGTGACATTGCCCCAGAACTGAGTCATTTCTGAAGGCAATTGAGGTTTAGGTTTTTGTGTATATGTATGTGTAGGTGTGTGTGTATGCATGTGTGTTAGTCCATTCTTCTGTGGCTATAAATAAATACCTGAGACTGGGTAATTTCTAAAGAAAAGAGATTTAATTGGCTTGCAGTTATGCAAGCTGTACAGGAAGCATGGTGCTGGCATCTGCTTCTGGTAAGGCCTCAGGAAACTTAGTTGTGGTGGAAAGCCACAGGGAGCCAGTGTGTACACGAGAGTGGGAGCAAGAACTCACTCGTTAGAGGGATGGCATCCAGCCATTCGTGAGGGATCCACTCCCATGATCCAATACCTCCCGCTAGGTCCCACCTCCAACATCAAGAATTGGCATTATCGATATGCGTGTATGTATTGTACCTGAAAGTCATCCTGACTCATACATTTTCAAGAGTATATTACTGCAAGAAAGTAGGGGGACTACATGAAATGACATAATAAGGAAGTTAGCATTTCAACTGTCACTGGCATTGCTCCCTTGTCTTTTTTTCCTGTGTTGAACTCAGACATGATACTTGAAGCTCTAGAACATTTTGTGACCATGAAGAAAGGTCAAGACAATTGCAGACCTTCCACCCAGGACATTGTGGAACTGCTGAACCAACACCCGCAGCCACCTAACTCCAGATTCCTTATTATACAGGAAAGGTACCCCTCTTTTTATTTGACTTTGTGTTCTGTTACATGTAGCTGGAGATATTCCTAACTGGTAGAGGGAAGATAATGCATTGATTTTTGGATCTGCCAAGTTTTAGATATGTTAGGAAATCCAGATGAAGTGGAAATATGATTGGGATTCTGGAGAAAGACTTGGATGGTAAGTTTAGGGTAAAGATTCTTCAGCAAATGGTGATAAACGGAAGCCAGTGGTCTTTAAACTTTTACCCACACATGCCCTAAAATAGTTACAAAAATGCTGTCTTTTGCATTTTTCCCCCAATATTTTATTATGAATATTTTCAAACATACAGGAAAGTTGAAATAATTGGGCAGGGAGTACCATATGCTCACCATCTAGATTCTATGATAAACATTTTGCTTTGGTTGCATTACTTATCTATATGTCCATCCATTTCTCAATAAATCTTATTTTTTATTTATTTCCAAATAGATTTAAAACAATATGTTTCACCCCTAAACTCTTTAGCATGCATAACATTACCTAGAGTTCAAAGATCTATTTACTATTTTTCTAAAATTTACATCAATGAAATGTACACATTTTAAGTATAGTATTTGATAATTTTGACAAATGCTTTTGCCTTTCTAACCCCAAATCCTATTAAGGTATAGAATATTGCTGTCACCCCAGGAAGCTTTCAGGCTGTCACATAACCCTTCCCAGTCAATCTATGCCCACATCCCTCCTGCAGGCAAACACTGTTCTAATTTACTTTCACTATAGATTAAATTTGCCTGTTTAAAACCTTCATATAAATGACATTGTATAATATTACCCTCACACATTTTTAAGTTACATATAAAATTATTTATCATAAGTTTGAATATTTTCAGAGATGTCATTTCTGGTGTGTCTTAAATATTGACTTTTAAAATCAAATGGCCGCATTACTCATTTTAATACATCCAATAGAAACTGAATGCCAGTATGATCTGCTACCTATTATCATCCATTTAAAAAATACATGAACAAGGCCGGGCATGGTGGCTCATGCCTGTAATCTCAGCACTTAGGGAGGCTAAGGCAGGAGGATCAGTTGAGTCCAGGAGTTTGAGACCAGCCTGAGCAACATAGTGAGACTCAATCTCTACAAAACAAATGAACAAAATTAGTCAGGTGTGGTGGTGCTTACTGTAGTCCCAGCTACTCCGGAGGCTGAAGTGGGAGGATCACTTGAGCCTGGGAGGTCTAGGCTGCCATAAGCTGAGATCGCACCTTTGCATTCCAGCCTAGGTGGCAGAGTGAGACCATGTCTCAAAAAATAATAAAATAAAATAAAAATAAAAACAAACAAAAAATAAAATACATGCGTGAGCTCCTCTTTAACAGGGTGAAATTTTTAATCTTTCCTTTTTCTCCTTGAACTTGTATTTCCATTTTATAAAATGTCATCCTAAACTAATATATGTTTATGCTTGAAAGATTTTTCTTGAATGTCCTTTTATACTTGTCTGAACAAAATTTACTACGTTTATTAAAAGAAATTAATCTTTTTCCCAGAGACCATAAGGCTGAAAGTGTTAATTAATTTCTTTTAGATCCAAGGGTGTCCAATCTTTCAGCTTCCTGGGCCACATTAGAAGAAGAATTGTCTTGGGCCACACATAAAATACACTAACACTAGTGATAACTGGTGAGATTAAAAAAAATCACAAAAAACTCATGATATTTTAAGAAAGTTTATACATTTGTCTTGGGCAGCATTCAAAACTGTCCTGGGCTGCATGTAGCCCATGGGCCATGGGTTGGACAAGCTTGTTC